CGGGGGCTGTGCTCAGGACGGGTGGCAGCAGCACTAGGCAGCAGGAGGGAAGATTATGGGGGGACTACAGCAAATTTTGGGGTGGCTGCAGCCTGCCTCCCTCCCAGCGCCACTGCTGCCTGCCCTGAGCAGAGCCTGGTCCAGCTCCCTTCCCCCCCTCCCCCCTGCCAGGAAGAGACCGACACAACCCCAGCCTGCTGCTGCAGCTTGCATCCCATGCAGATCCAGGGACACACACACCCCTATGCCCTCCCAGGGTGCATGCAGCAAGGGGAGTTCCCCCACACCCCCTAGATGATCCATGGCTCCATTCTGCTTCTGCCCCATCCTGGCTGGGCAGCACCTGCCCCAGTCCCAGCCCCTGACACAGCCCCAGCCCTACTCCCTCCTCCCCATGGGGGCTTTGATCTACCCCCCCACACACACACAGACACCCCTTTCCTCACCCTTCCCTTCCACCACAACAGACTTATCAGATGCATGTAGCTGTATTGGAAATCAGATCGGCTATCGGTCTCGGCCCCAACGTCTCTGTTGTTGCACCCCTAGTTGTGGTCATTGTGTAGATTAGATTTAAATGGTAATTTCCTTTTTCACTGGAGAAGAAAGGTGGAGTGGGAGCCAATTATTGTTGGTCTGGGTCTTCTCTTTATCCATTTTCAAAGCTCATACACTGTCAGGGATAATCCTTGATTGTTACAAATCTACCCATGGCCAACTGGTGCTACCTTACTCGGGGGGCACGTGCCCCATCAGTGACTGGGGGGGAATCCCCCCCATGGCCAGTCTCACTGACTGGGGGAGGGAGGGTCCCCCCAAAGCCGATCTCACTGACTGGGAAGGAGTCCCCCCATGGTTGATCTCACTCAGTGGCTTCCAGAAGTGGCTGCGGCGCTCCCACTCCCCAGCCAGCTGGCTGGGGAGTGGGAGCACCGCAGCCACTTCCAGAAATTGGTCCCCCCTGCCTGTCACTCCCGCTGCCCTGTGCCTGCCTGTCACCTAAGTGGGGAGGGCAGCCTGTGTCAGGGTGCACCAGTGCTCTCAGGGAGTGCACATGCACACCTTACGTGCTGCCACTGAATCTACCTTTTCTGAAACAAATGTGAGCAGGGTTGTCAATACCCTCCTGTCCTGATGGGCCTTCTCAAGGCTAGAAACAAATTTGAGTTACAGATCTGTGTAAGTTACATGAGGTGTTTTTAGCTTGCTGTTTGACTATGGCAGCTTTATGCATGTCATGGTTATTTAGCCTTGGCACGTGTTGAAAATGGAACAAAGAAAAGCACAGCATGCTTTGCTCTCTTGATCTTCCACAAGAACAGTGCATAGACTGTATAGACAAGACCCTTTTCTGAATTCTTAGGTAGCACACTATTGCTTAAGGCTGATGGAATAGAAGAATGCCATCCCTAAACCTAATGAATTACGGTTTGCCCTTGGATGTAGCAGCCACGCCTTCATAAAGCAGCAAGAGGCTGATTAATGAATGCTTTTGTTTATAGGCCTGTGTACCAAAGCAAAAATTAGGATGATTATCATGCTTTTCATTTTTAACTTTAACTTTAGGAAAGTTGCTGATTTTTCCATCCTCACTTGTCTCTCTCTTCTGCTCCTGGATTTGTTGGTTTTCTTCTCTCTCCTCCCACACTTCATGCATCACTGTTTGGTTATGCTCAGACTAGACAAAGACTTTTCCCAAGTTTCCTAAAATGACCAGTCCCATCTTTGGGATGCCTAAAACAAAAATCTCCTAACAATGTTGAAAGTTAATTCAGCTTTCAATTTAAAAACAATTTTAAAAGGAAGTGCCTCCTCCCATCGTGTACACCAGCTTATTTTAGAGGGGCATGCTTTTGTTTTGTTTCTTCATACTTTCTAGTATTGGTCGAAAGGGGAAATCCTGAGATGCTATAATAAGTGCTGGTACAGTCATTCCAAGCTAGGTGGAACAAAGAAGCTGTTTGTAACTAAATTTCCTGGCTATGGTGAAATAAAGGCAAATCCAAAGTAAAGGAAAGAACTAATGTCCATCCACAACACATTTGGACATATGTTAGGTTAACTACTTGTAGCAAAACCTATATATCAATACCTCTCCTGCCTACTGTGCTCCAGTTTTGGAAATCTGAGGCCATCTTTCCCCAGTTGTCTAGTACTTAGAAAAGTGATGATTCAATACCCTTTTTGCCCAATAGTCTACTCCTTTTTGTCTGCCTATCTATGACTAAAGTCTCTCCACCTTACCTTTCCATAACCTGTCCTCCTAGTACCTTACTCTTTAAGACCAACAACTGGCCACAGCCCTAACATGGTTGCATTGCCTGCCAGTATGAGACAACACTTTCAGCTGAGATTAGAGTCTAAATTTTGGTTCTCCTGTTTAATTAATTAGTTCCCAGAGGTAAAGTACCCATACTTAGGGTCCTAAAAAACAACCTGATATTCAGTTTCACTCTGTACAGCAGGTCTTCCTAAAAATAATGCTACTGTTCTGTAACATAGAACTGGAACATTATTAGCATTTACATAGTTTTGAACTTCTGCTTTTGAAAAAGTTGTATTCTTTCCTTCCTGTCTGTGGAGATCTCTCATCCTCATATGGACATACTCCCAGCCATTTGGGGTTTGTCCCACATGAGCATCTGTGCAGCCCATTCTAGGGACATCCTAGCAATTCTCTCTTTTAATACTGTTTTTCAGGAATTACATATAGAGAGATACTAAATTTCAAGCCACCTCAGCTATCAGAATCAAAGGAAACAGCCGTGTAAATGTGTGTGTCGACCTCTTCAAAATTCAGAAGCAGCAGGAAGGTTGTAAATGTTTGTGATAACTCAGTTGTATAAACCTTTTATAAATAAACTGGATGTAATCTGTTTTTTCTGTATTGTAAAGAACATTGGTGTCTTTTACTATGTCTAGGAACCTTGTGCCTTTAGGAGTAGCATTCAAAACTATCTGGAAATTTACTTCTATTTAAATGTTTCTCATAATTCATGAAGTACTTTCACATTTGGTTTTGGAAGTTGAGTTTACAAATCATCATAGTTAAGAATACTGCTTACCTTGAACAAGCTGAGACTAAAGACCTGTCTTCATGTGCCATGTACAGGGTCGTATAGAGATACTTAAGACTTTGCTTGGGTACTGTAACTCTGCCTGGGCTAAGTCACCTTGATGAGAAGCAGGTCTGCGGAGCACCTTACTGCTGTGGCTAAACTGCCTATGCTGCCAAGCAAACTTTTTCAGAATTGTCTTGAGTATCTCTGTGCATTGCAATTTTGTGCACTATAGATGGAACATAAATGGGTAAGTGCTTCTCTTTTCCTAAACAAATGAAGGGGAGGCTGAGCAATTCTGAAGGTAAGAGACATCTAGTCAGTGACATCTTAGCACCAAGAGATCTGGTAGAGTCCCTGTATAGTTGTTCCTAATTTTCAGTAGAGTCCCCCCGGATCCATAGACTTCTGACAGGCAAAACCTGCTACTCTCAAGAGTAGTGGAAATAACTCACGTAGTGGGATAGGACACCCCCTACTAAATAGTGACTTCTGAACAGCGTTGCTGTTTTACAGGGACCAGATAAGTCAATTTTAAACAGTATCGTATGTTCTTCCTCTAATGAATAACAACCTATCTCTGTATAGTAGAATAGGTGGCCTAGGTTTTTTTTCCAAGGGGAAAACTGAGGATTTATAACTTTTGTAAGCCCTGTAACTCACAGGTTGTTAATGCAGTTATAGCCGTGTGCTGGGGGTACAGGTATGCTGATGTTAAAAATAGAACTGCATGCTTCACGTTAGGAAGAAAGAGATGAGAATAAAAACGACACAGTACAATCATTTTGGTGTCTTGCAGTAAGCTGTCTTGTTCCCATTTTATATAGACCCTGTTAGGTATATGGTAATGATTTTTTTTAAGAAGTCATCTCATTCTCTTGTGAAAAATCCATGACAGAGGTACAGTACCACCAGGGTTTAGCTTCCTTATGAATAACTGGTCAGAAATTTTGTTAGTCCCCTTTAGCAGCTGGGTTCATTTCTTGTCTTTTCATTACTGCTAAGTTTCTAATAGTTTCCCAGATGTGGGAAATTGAAATTGATGAACCTCTGGGGTTTTTTTATTGTGGGTTTTTCTCCTCCTTTTAGCTCATCTTTTAACAAACGGAATATTTGGCTATGGCAATTTGCTATTTTGCATCAGTTCTAAGTGAAATATCTGTGAAGGGACATATCTTATCTTTGTAGAGAGTAATTGAAAATGGACCAAGAGATAGCTCAGTTTACTTACTTTTCACTTAATAAGAATTTTAAATGGAAAAGCTTAGTCAACTTTTGATGCGGGTTGTCTTAGTTATATAAGATAAACGTCTCTAAATAGCTCCTCTGAGAAATATTTGTGATGCGTTTGACAAGACTTTAAAGAAGCATCTTGGGGTGGAGAAAAGAGGCAGTGAGGAAGAGGCAATTGTGTTCAAATTAGTTTTGATGCATTTTTAAGATATTTCTAAAATTTCATCAAAACTTTTAAAATTAGAAAAGTTCAAACAGCAGTGTAATGGATTAAACTAGGGATGACCACTTGAAAATGTAGTCTGTATTTTTTATCCTATTTCACTTAATTAAAATTTGAAATTTGAGAGTTTTTTATCAGCTCTAATACTCATTAGGTATGGGCTCATTCCCTATCCTGTAGTGGCTGAAAAATGGATTTTTAGCCCTCCAAATATTATGGCTTCATACATTTGGAGGGAAAGATGAACTACTAAAATAAGAGGGAGCTAGCTTTTCAAATGGTATTTCCCCAGAAAAATTAAAAATTGAGAACTGTGTGAGGGGAGCAGAAAGGATTGCCATACAGAGAGCTTATCGAAAGAAATGCAAATGTGGAGGAAAGGATACTTTTCGTGGGAGAAAACTGCTGATTTATAAGGGGAGACAAAATTTCCTAGGTGTTTATTTGCTACTTCTAATGGTGCTAAGAAACTCAGGAATAAGAACCCAATTTTTGTTTGCCTTAAAGAGAAATGTAAATATGATCTGCATGAAATGTATTGTGAAAAATGTATTGTGAAAAATAAAGTTTTTTAAAATAGGTTATTGTCTTGTTTCCCCATTTATGTTCCTACAGGAAATGTATCGTTCTTAATAACACATTCAAGTGAAATATTTGCAGGTGCCAAGGAATGGTGTGAAACTTGATATTCTACTTGTATTCTATTTAACTTGAGTTGGTGGCTTTATTTTGGAATGAAGTCATCCCTTAGATCCTAAACTTTCCATCACATGCTCAATGGAGCAACTCAGTTACAGAGCAGAACTGACTATAGTACTGCATCCAACTATTTCTTGGAGCATTCTTGGATTTTATTCAGACATTATCTCTTTATTCTAAAAGGTAGGATTCCAGGCAAACACATTCCCTAACCTGATTAGGCTACCAGTGTTTTCCCGCCCATATGGGCAGTTAGTAAACCATGTATGATACAGTTAGCCCCATGCAGAAAGGGAACTTGCCTAGCAAATCTCTAGTCATGTAGCTGGGGCCTTGTCTTCCTAAGCTTATATGCATCCTAAGTATTTCTTAGCAGTAAATATTAAATAAATGTTTAGGATCTATAGCATTAAAAGCTGTTGCTTAGAATAAAGAAGCATATGGTCTGCATTTCTGAGCTTTCTACTTTCTGACCTGCTGTTAAAATTCAAATGTCAAGTGCCTTTTCCTGCCTGCTCTAGCTAGGAGCTTCTGCTGGAGGTTGTTTATCATTTTTATAACTTGGAAAGAAACATTCCCTTGGCCGTCATGCTTTCTATCCTACATGACTGCATGTATGAACCACTGCCTCATTGGTAGGCGATTTCCTTGTGCACAGAAGACTGTCTGCAGTCTTCCGCAATATTTAAACTACTATCTAAAGCTTACACTGCCATGTACCAAATGCTTGTGACTCAAGTATGGGAGCCATGCACACTTTTATACATGCTGGAAGCAGACTCCCTCAGGTAGAAGGTAACTGGAAAAAGAAGATAGTTAAAAAATTAATTATGAAGTAGTTCTTGTACACGGTTCTCATATCTCTGCAGCATGAGAAGTTCTAGTATAAATTTTGCTGTATATTCTTCTGCACTACAGTTTTCTCAGTGCCCCAGGGTCTGTTATATCAACTTCTTGTGTGTTAAATGGGGATGTGATGAATTTCCCAACTGCATATTATTGTTGCTTTCATCCAGGCAGCCATAAACTTTCAGTAGCATTGTTTTTTTCCTCCTTTGAAAGCACTGTTGTCCTCAAAAGGGAGTAGTAAGTAAGATACCACAAAAATAATTGCCTGTGGTGCATTAAGTTAAATCATAGAAATCATAGAAAATTGGGGTTGGAAAGGACCTCGGGAAGTCATTTAGTCCAACCCCTTGCTCAAAGCAGAACTGTCCACAACTAGGATGTTGTGGATATCTGCTAAGGCTTTGTTTAGCCAGGTCTAAAAACACCCAAGGATGGAGAGTCCACAACCTCTCTGGGTAACCTGTTCTAGTATTTTACTACCCTCCTAGTGAGAAAATTTTTCCTAATATCTAACCTAAGCTTCCCTTGCTGCAACTTGAGACCATTGCTTCTTGTTCTGTCATCTGTCAAGTCTGAGAACAGTCTAGAGCCATCCTCTTTGGAACCACCCTTCAGGTAGCTGAAGGTTGCTATTAAATCTCGCCTGTCTTCTCTTCTCTAGACAAAATAAGCCCAGTTCCTTCAGCTTCTCCTCATAAGTCATGTGCCCCAGACCTCTCACCATTTTCATTGCCCTCCACTGGACTCTCCAATTTGTCAGCATCCTTTCTGTAGTGGGAGGCCCAAAACTGGACATGATGTGGCCTCACCAGTGCCAAGCAGAGGGAAAGAATCACACTTCCCTTGATCTGCTGGCAGCACTCCTACAAATGCAGCCCAGTATGCCATTAGCCTTCTTGGCAACAAGGGAACACTGTTGGCTCATATTCAGCTTAGTGTCCATTGTCACCTCCTTTTCTGCAGAGCTGCTGCCCAGCCAGACAGTCCCCACCCTGTACTGGTGCATGGACTTGTTCCGTCCTAAGTGCAGGACTTTGCACTTGTCCTTGTTAAACTTCATGAGATTTCTTTTGGCCCAATCCTCCAATTTGTCTAGGTCTCTCTGAATTCTACCCCTATCCTCCAGCATATCTACTACTCCCCCCAGCTTGCTGTCATCTGCAAACTTACAGAGGGTGCCCTCTATGCCATCTTCTAGGTGTTGTGAAGATATTGAACAAAACCAGCCCCAACACCTAGGGCACGCCACTTGAGACCAGCTGCCAACTAGACACTGAGCCATTGATTACTACCCTCTGAGTCTGATGCTTCAGCCAATTTTCTATCCACCTTACAGTCCATTCATTCAGCCCATACTTCCTTAGCTTGCCTGCAAGAATCTTGTGGGAGACTGTATCAAAAGCCTTGCTAAAATCAAGGTTTATCATATCCTTTGGTCTGCCCGCATTCACAGTAAAACATTACTGTTAAGATGCTGCTTTATAAACTTCATTTTTCAATGGAAAATACTGTCAAATATCTTTGTTCAGAGCAGGGACTATCTGTCAGATTTGGACAGTGCCTACCACAATGGGGACCTGATCCTATGGGCCTTTTTGCACTAATGCATTAGTGCCCAACCTTTCTGAGCTGCAGGCCAGATGTGTGGTGTGGGGTCAGTCCACAGGACAGATCTGATGCACGGGATCTGTCTGTGGGTCTGATCCAGCATGGAGTCACCTGATGGGTGCTACGTGTGGCCCCAGTCCCACATTCCAGGTTGGGCCCACTGCCCTAGCCCTGCACCAGCCTTGGCCCTGCATGTGCCAGATCAGGCTTACCACCCTGCCCTGGGCATACTGAATCAGGCCCGATGCCTCAGCCCTGCGCACAACAAATCAGGCCCATTGCCTGAGGTGCAGACCGAATCCAGTGTGTGGAGTTATGTTGTCTGGCTTATGGGGCTTGGAAATTGGATGGTGGAGGAATGGCAGCATTAAGTGCTACCACTCCCAGCTGCCATATTTCCAGACCTGTGAGGAGCCCTGCAGGCCAGATGACATAGCTCCACAGATTGGATCTGACCCACAGGCGAGAGGTTGAGCACTAATGGACTGATACACTGTATGTCAGTCAAACGCTACTGCCTAATCAAAACTGAAGTTAAAGGGAAGGGAAAACTTCCCACTCTCATAATATACAGTAAGACCTGTGGTACTTGATAGCTTCACAGTTTTGACCACCAGAGGGCTGCAACAAGTTAAGTTCCCATTACATGTTTTAAAACATCAATTTCTGTGCAATTAGTTTCAGTATCTTTGTGCTCTGCCACTTGGAATGTATCCGGCCATTTGCAGTTTTCAAGGAACACTTTTTTTTAAAGACAATAGCACATTATTAGGGAAATATTAAACTTTCCCTGAGAAATGTGAACAGAAATGTTATAAAGAAAACCAAGGGGGTTGTTTTGAGAGAGATTTTTTTTAGGATCTAGAATCTATTATGCCAGTTATACAAGCACTGAAACCATCATGGAAGTAGAAAGCTGAACAATGTGGAAGCGTATAAGGCTAATCATACTGCATTTGAAATCTCACTGATGAGTCCAGACATGCACACTTCTAATACAGCAAATTCCCATGTCATTAAAAAGCATTTTTAAAACAGATATATGAAAAGTGATATCTGTGCCATGGTGAAGTCAGAAGGAGTTTTGCAACTTATTTCATTAATTCAGGATTACATCTTAGGTACATAAGCTTACAGAACATGAGTTGGCAGTATAACCCATGAGCTACAGATCTGTCCTGCAGAGGCTTTGGCAGCATTTGGCAGGGGCACCTTCTGCAGGTGCTCTCCACATGCTGCTATGAAGAGAAGTGCCAGCTGCAGGTACTTTCCCTGTACGACCAGAGAGACAGGCAGCAGCAGGTTGGAAGTGGGCAGACCTGCCTGCCCACTTCCAACCTGGTCTTTCTGGTCTGTAGCTGGAAGAGATTTCCTACTCCTCCTCTAGAATATTGGGCAGGGGGGAGCTTGGGGGAGAGGGGAGCAGGATTCAGAACAAATACTGCATTTTGTCTCAAATGAATTTTCCCACTGATGAGAGAAACTAGAGATGGCACACTCCACAGCAGGTTCCATGCCTGAGGATGTCAGACCAGGAAGTAGAGCCTGAGATAATCAATCCCACAGCAAGTATAATATTTCTTTTAAACAAAGCATGTTTCCTGTGGGTTAATGAGCTCAACGTTTATTTCAGTATTCCAGGCACAGAGTTGGGATGCCAGGAAATGCATTTAATAGTTCCATGTTGATCCTTTTTATCATATTACTGTGAGCCCAGTTTGACAGTATTTTTGTGGTTGCTAGACAAGGAATACCAAATGAAAACATGTGAGATGTTCTTAAATATTAAGGATCCCTGGCAAATACAAGCTTATATAATAACTAGTTCATACCAACATTATCAGTCCTTTGGCTTCATGGGCAAAAACTTCATCTGTGAGATGTAACTAATGTGAACCAACCTACAGGGTGTGGTGAAAGGTTTGTCTTTCTTTCACTTCTGCCAGATGCTTTTAAACAGTGCTTTTAAATTAGTTTTGTTGCAAATAAATATAAGGGGTTATACTCAGAATTATTATGAGAAGAAGTGGTATTTTAACTGGTTTTTCTCTCGATGTTTAAGATTTTGTGATGGTATTACTTGTGTTCTTATAATTTTTGTTGTGATCAGGGTTATTTTTTTTCAGGAAAAGTAGCATTTTGGTGGCACTGGTAACTGCATACCGAATGTATTTTTGACACTAGCTACTGGAAAATTAGGTACAAACATCCTCTGATGCACAGATCAGTGCTTACTTATGAAACTGGCCAAAGTAACTAAGACCCTGAATATGTTGTCCAGGATATCTGCTTTGATGCTTTTCCCCAGAATCTTGTTGTAAGGCTGTTCTCTCTAGAAAAGTGCTAATGTGGTTTCTGTGGCCAATGTGCTCTGGAGCCTTAGAGCTGTCTCATAACAATGCTGAAATTTGCCAGGGACTGTGAAG